TATCTTTATTCTTCATGTCCGTGCAGCAGTTTGTATATAATGAAAATAGGAATCATTTCACATAAAAATGAACACACAAGATACACAAGGTATATAGGAAGCGAAAAAAGAGAAACACACAGCTGCACATAACGTACAATGAAATTATAATGAAACACACACACACACACAAACAAAAGGAAAAAGCAATATAATGAAAACAAAAAGAAAAGAAAGCTGTGATCACCATGTGAATATGTTCAGGAGGCACGCAACACAATTCCCAACAGTAGGTGTGTGTGTCTTTCGTACAGGTCGAGCAGTGGGAATGATGCACACAAACATGATGACAGTCCACACACACACACACAAGGAGAAGGAAGGTTGGTAGTGTGCGTGTTTGTGTGTCTTGAACCACCTGCCATTCTTCACATTTCAGTCACAGTCATTAAAACATATTGGGGAAATATCCCATTCCCACAGGTAAAAGCAATATAGTTATCAATATCACGGAACACACATATACACACTTCACTAGGCGGGCACAGTGAATGACGGCAAAACAGAGCCCAGATAGTGCCAACAAAGAAAGAGGAGACTCCCTTACATAATAATGGTTTGTCTTCTGATGAGTGTCATAGGGAGTACAGTAGATATGTTCAGCAAAAAAGTGCAAATAAGAGATTTATCAAACTATAAAAGAAAAAAAAAAGGACCAATATACAACAAAAAAGAACATTAACCTTACAATGCATCCATATCCACTCAAATAAAGATTAACTGTGCAGCTGCGTCACGGGAACAACGATCAGCAGACGACAGTGCAGCCCAGCACACACATCAGAACAAGAAGCAGCAATAAGGGACTGTGCACCAATGCAGGACTGCTGCTGCTGTCACTTAACTGTGTAATATTCAAATGGATTGAAGCTGAAGAAGGAGAATTAGTTGGCATATTTTGTGATTGCGGAGTCTCACTAGCAGTAGAGGAATTAGTTGGTATATTTTGTGATTGCGAAGTTCCAGTAGCAGATGAGTTACTGTCAGTTGGAGGATTGCTCTGAGGATTCTGATTTTTGTGTTGTGTCTCATCTTTGCTTTCCTTATTATTTTGCCCCTCAGAGTTCTGTTCATTCTGCTGCTGTTGGGCAGTTGTATGGCTTCCCGTCTCAGTTTGTGCGGTATTGGTATTCTGGTTTCTTGTATTTTCTTCATTCTGTTTATTTGGATGTAAACCTTCCACCTCCTTATTTTCGTTTGGCGTCTTATTACCTTCACTTCCTGTATTCGTCGAATTGTTGCTTGTTTGAGTCGCCTCTTTACTTTCTCGTTCCACCTCTTCTTTTATCTCTGGGTACTTTTGGAAAATTTCATCAATAAATGCTTGAACATTTTTTGCTTCAAAGGAGGCAACTTCCGCCTGTTTCTTGGCTTCCTCCGCAACCTTGTTGACACTTTTAAAGTCCATAACGTCATCGTTAAGGGAAGAAAGTACTTTATCCGCTTCTTTCTGGTACTCTTCAACCAATTCCTTCCTTCCACCTGCGTTAATGTGTTTGTCAACAATGTTCTTAAGGAATTCTGCCAGGCTGTGCAATTCCATTGTACGATCCTGCAATGTACTTACCAAACCCGCTGTTGTTGCAGCTATCGACTTCGCCTTGCCAGCGGCATCAGTGGCCTCTCTTTGTGCATCTACTGCCTTCCTTAACAACTCTTTTGCTTCACTTTCCTTTTCACTCCGGGTTTCAGGGTTACGTATTTCTTTCAATAAGGTCTCCATAAGCTTTCTAACTTCATTCGCCTTAGTTGTTGCATTCTTAGCACGATTCAAAGCTTCACTGCATTTATTTTCCATGGTTCTTAAAGAATGAAGATCATCGTTAATTAGACCTCTCTCCGTTTTCATCTTCTCAATCATATCTTTAAGAAACAATGAAGGATCACTTTCTTCATGCGTGATGGGATCCGTAACACTTTCCGCATATGCCACACACGCACAGCACTGCAGAAGTACCAACAGGTACACCACACGGCGCAGTTGGACGAACATCGTTGTCATGATTGTCACTGTGGATAGCTTGGGTCTGTGGTAACAAGGAAGAAGAGAAAAAAAAACAACAAGAACACAAAGAGGAGTGCAAACACAACATCTATACACAGACACACAGGAAAAGCAGCGGAGTACATGAAGCAGAAAGAAGAATAAGGGAAAAGAAAACAAGAAGAAATGTTGCCATCAGGTGAAGAACAAACCACACCCATGTGACTGCACTCCACAGACACACAGACGTGTCTCTTACCAAACCCCAACACAATTTAAACCCGTGTATATATATGAGCACATAAATAAACAAAAAAAAAAACAATAAATTATTTCACTCCCTCTTTAGGAGCCTGCATCACCCAA